CATAAGCTGTACTTCTTTGTGTAGAATTATAACCACTTAGGAAGTATCATTTTGCTAGACCTCTTGCTGTTTTAGTATTTTCTTTTCCTCTTTCTTAGATTTCACTTAGTGTGTGGTTGATGTGAAAAGGTGGTGGAATTTGGATTTTCTCTTTCATGATTTTGAATGTAGATTTTATGTGTAAATCTATAAACAGTCTAGTACTATTGTATAATGACCTGAAAATTTCTGGTTAGTTTATTGCTACAGTCTTCCAGATTATACAGAAATTGTATCTGTGGTTTAAATATGTCCTTTGCCTCTAGAAGTTTGTGTAACTGCAACTTAGGTAAGATGCAGCTTTCAGAAGATAGTAAAAGCCTAAGGTAGAAAATATTTTCTTTACTTTCTTTTCTACATTGGAAGAATTAATAGGAGTTATAATTTACTCTGATAACCTGGTAGCCATCATCTATGTCTCAGATCAGTATTTACTCTTGATATATATTATATGAACATGATATATGGAGATGAGCATATACATAAACATTTATGAAAATTTTAATCAGATTTTTTTGAAAAAATAGTTCAATTGGTATGAATTTATTTACACAAAATGCTATTATAAAAATAAACCATAATTTTAGTGTCAGAATACAAAATATCTAAGTAGTATCCTCAACTGTGTACCTAGTCAGAAATAAAAAGCTCATCTATAAGTCCTTTAGTAGGAAAGATGATCCACAGTCCACGTATATATGAAAAAAATAATGTTGTAAGTATATGCAATTTGAAAATAGTGTTTTCTTTACTAATGTGAAGGATTCATGTGTTATTGGTGGAAAAGTTCAAGTCATAATTTTAAGTTTAATAAATAATCCTTGGATAGAACACTCTCTGGTAGACATTTTTTAAATAACTAGTGTTATTGGTTGTGTTGCAACTTTCTTGTAATGTGTTTGGTTGGCCTATGAATTCTCTATTTTATTCTAGATATTTTAGTGCCAACATTTCAAAATATTACAATTTTTTTTTGAATTTTACTAATGTCCTTGAAGTTTTACTATTTTGTATTTAGAAATAGTCCAATCCTTTTAGAATATTGTCTCAAGTCCAATTAAACTTTCAAATTTGAGTATTCTTGTAAAGGTAATTAAGTATGTTAAATGAAAGTGTAAAGACCCCATATGCATATGTCCTATTTGCACTAGTAGAAATTATTTATGAATTTAGGGATCTAATTTTTCTCTATAATGATCCTTTGTAATATACCCTAAGTAGAAGCAAGTATACTTGTTCTGATCTGTGTTAAAAGAGAAAACATTAAGTTGTTTCCTAGAATAATGGTGGCTTATTTAAGATCTTCAGAAAAGCTCCCAAAATATACCTTTCAGTTATCTAGTTGATTTATTCATTGAAGGCAAGGGTTTGTTTTCTTTTACTATTTGGGTTTTCCTTCTTTTGGCATTTTGGGGGGAAACACATGTATTCTGTAACATGAAGCTAGTTATTTATAGTAACCAATTTAGTAAAACAAGAGCCATCATGGTAGAGTGCCATAGGCATTTGTGTCTATTTTTTGTTTGTTTTTTTATTTCTGGGCAAGTTTCTAGTCCTGAGATTTTTGTGATTAATGTTTAATTTTTCAACTTTGGGTTCATATTCAAAGTTGGTAGGTGGCAAAGTTGACAAAACATTTATGTTTCTTACATGGTTCACTTAGTTAGTGAATGTTTTTTGAGGACTGGAATAGGTTAATGAGACACAATTAAAATTCAGAAGAAATATTCACAGATAGCAGGAAAACAAGGAGAATGTTTCAAAGGGATGATTGTGTTAAGGAGAAAGTCTTTGAAACTCCTGTTTACAGGTGATAAGTAGAAAGATATGCATGTATACACACATATACATACATATAAAAGAGATTGAGGTACTTTACTTTTTTACTGAATCTTTGAAATTCCAGGTGAATTTTATTCTTACAGTACATTTCAGTATGGATTAGCCACATTTTAAGGGCTCACTATCCACAAGTGGCTAAAGGCTGCCATCTTGGATAGTGTGGCTCTAGATTGTCCTGCCTCATTTTTAAGATCATAGCTTCTCATTTCTCCAGACCATTCTCTGATTCCCCAGATCTGTTAGCTTCCTTTCATCCTCAGTCTCATTGAATTGTGTTTCTTTCCTTTAGAGCATTTGTCATAGTTGTAAATTAGATTGTTTGATGTTTGTCTCTTCCACAAATGTAAGCATGAGGATTTCCCATTGTATTTCCAGTCTTTACATACAACTGGTGCTCAATAAAGAGTATTTGACATAATGAATTTTGCTAATTACTAGTACACAAGGTAACTTGATCAGAGTTACACATTTAATTTTACAGTCGGGCATTACATTTTTTCTAATTCATTTTGTTATAATGAGAATGTATAAAATATCACTCATATGAGAAGTAGTTTCAAGTTGTTCACTTGTAATTGTGTTTTCCTAGGAAACAGTTCTGTAAACTCACGATTGTAAATAGTAGGAAGCTTTTAAAACTATAAGAATATTTTTGAGTTCATTTAATAGACTTGATGGTAAAAGAGGTTTAATAATTCAAAATATTGTTTGTTTTCTGTTCACATCCTGAAAATTGACTGACTTAAATTATTATAAAATTAAATTACTTAAAGTGACTCTATAAGAATGAAAATTTTTGGACAGACTTCATTGAAAATAGTAGTCTAACTTTTTAAAGAACTACTTTTTCTGAGTTTGGTAAAGTGATTAAACTACCAAATATATTTTGGTTATATTTTAACAATTATACTTAATCTTGAGTATGAAAGAGAAATTAAACAGTTTCTAAAGCAGGTAAATTTACACTCTTGTGTGTTATTATGCAAGTGGAAAGAATTAGATACTGTTAAAGAGTTGGGTAAGATTTCATTGCAAAATTAATATCTTAACTGTATGTGGAAGGGATAGTAGGCATTTATCAAGGGAAGAAGAGAAGAAAGAGTATTTCAGTCAAAGGAACAGCACATACCACAGCTATAAGGTTTTGGAACACTCTGATAGTTCCTCTAAGTAATTAGAAGCAAATAATTAAATCTGGCTACAATAAGTAATTGTGGGTGGAGGGCAGAGACAGAAAATGAGTCTGGAAAGACACTTTGACACTAGGATGATACAGAGCCCCACATGACCTTTAAAGGAGCTTGAACCGATCTTGCCTTGTTGGGAGCAAACATTGGAAGGGAGACCTGAAAAGTGTAAGCAGTGACATTAAAATAAATTTTAGTTACAATAAAAGAAATAATGGGCATATACTACTTTAGTGTGGGGATATGGGTATACATTGTTTACTCATCCCCATCCCAACCCCTTCAACCCTTCCCACCCCACTCCTACACCTCTTTACCAATAAGACAGGAAATTGAGGACAAGAATACTGTTAAACTCTTAATCAGGGATCATAATGTGAATGTGTTTTAATGAGTTTTAATGGCAACTTACTATGTAATAAGTTTATTAATTACCAGAGAACAGGATATGTTTTACAAAGTAAAAATAATTGTGATTCAATCAGTATCATTTTTCACTGCATGCTGAAACTTAATGTAAATTTCATCCTCAAATGATAGCCTGATTTTGCTGTGTGGTCATATTAACTTTAATCAACTTAAAAGTAAAAGGATATTCTATTAATTTAAAAAAAATATTACATGTTTTATTAGAGTATTGAGGTTTTAATTATATGTCATTTATTAGAGAATATTTTCAGATTTGTCAGAATTTAAGTAATAAAGAAGTCTAAATAGGGAACTTTGTAAAAGCACAACTCTATATACCATGAACCAACACTGTAACCAGGAACAAGTCATCAGGATAAAATGCCTTTGTTTGGAAACCATATTTCTTCTTTGGTTGCACAGGGAGACCTCAGGGGCCAAAGGAGCAGTAAGAAAGATCACTATTCATTCTGCTCTCTGTCCCAGTCCTATAACATAGCTCTGCTAAAATTTACTAGGAAAATCTCCCTAATCTTAGTGGTTGCAAGGGTATATGGTCATACTGGTGTCTTCCTGACAAAGCTTTGCCACTGTTAACTGCAGCAAAAATGTCAAGCACAGATGAATACTGAACAAGCCCTTCCCATTTCCACTGGCTCCTGAGCTTTTTTTGGAAAGGGCAGTGGAAAGTGAAGCCTTTTCTCTCTCTTTTTTTTTAATCCTTGTGATTCTCATTGTTATCATATATCATTCGTGGGGTGTCACAAGATTGTAGTGTGATGGGCTTTTTATTTTTTAAGTCTTCAGTGAGGTTTCAGTGTGGCAAAAAATAGGTTATGTTTTCAAAATATGTATACTGTATCGTTGATAATAAAATATATTTGATCAGTGTTAAACTTTACAAATGTGATATTTCAGTCAAATTTCACAATGATATTTTATCCTTAGAATTAATTTTGGTAACTTCACTATTTCAAAGAACTGGATTATGTTTAATTTTTTACATTAATTTTTTTCTTTAAATGAATTAAAATATATTTGTTTTTCCATACAGATTTGAGTTCTGTGAACCTGCATTTGTGGTTGGTAATTGCCTCCAGATAGCATCTGACAGTCATCAGTATGATCGAATTTATTGTGGAGCTGGAGTCCAGAAAGACCATGAAAACTACATGAAAATATTACTAAAAGTTGGAGGCATTCTAGTCATGCCTATAGAAGATCAGGTAACTTCTACTGTCTTTTTGCTTAATGGCATAAGAAACAAACATATTAGTTTAAGATGGGAAGTATAATATCTGTAAAAGTACATTGCAATTTTTAAAGAAGAAATACTCTTCTTAGGTGTGTTTACATAGAAAAACTTTGAAATGAACTCTTAACTATTTAACCAAAGCAGATATAGAAAAGATTCCTATATTAGGATTAGAAGAGACTTGGTCTTTCATCAGAGCTTAGCTACTGCCTATATGGTGAAGTAGTCCCCCCTTATCCTTGGTTTCAGTTACCCATGGTCAGCCATGGTCTAAAAATATTAAATGGAAATTTCCAGAAATAATTTTGAGTTTTAAATTGGATGATATTCTGAGTAGTGTGATGAAATCTTGAGCCTTCTTGCTCTGCCCTGCCTGAGACATGAATCATCCCTTTGTCCATCATTATCCACAATATATACACTATCTGTCCTTTAGTCACTTAGTAGCCGACTCAGTTATCATCAGATCGACTATTGCAGTAATGCAGTGCTTGTGTTCAACTTTTATACTTAATAATGACCCCAAAATGCAAGTGTAATGGCAATTCGGATATGACAAAGAGAAGCTATAAAGTGCTTCCTTTAAGTGAAAAGGTGAAAGGTCTCAACTATTAATAAGGTATTGTATCATCTCACATCATCACATGAAGATGGGTGAGTACAGTACAATAAAGTACTTTAAGAGACCACGTTCACATAACTTTTATTATAGTATGTTATAATTGTTCTGTTTTATTATTAGCTGTTATTGTTAATCTCTTACTGTGACCAATTTATGAATTAAACTGTATCATAGGTATGTATATATAGGAAGAAAATATTATAAATAGGGTTCAATGCTATCAATAGTTTTAAGCATCCACTGGAGGTCTTGGAACATGTCTCCTCTTGATAAGGGACACTATTGCATTTGCTGAGCTGCTCCCTCCTTTTCTCACCTGGAGGCATTACATTGAATGTGACACTCTCTACTAGCTGCTCCATTTCCGACATTCTTTAATTCTTGAACATATAAAATAGAAACATAAAGTAGAAATACTATTTGGGGTTTGGTTCGGACTGCTTAACTCCACTAAAGTAACAAGTAAATCTTAAATCTTTGTTTAGACTCATTTGAAAATACTTTTCAGCCATTTGCCTGCTGTGGTGTGGAATTGTTAAGTATAATATATATATGAAATACTACTTTATTCAGAAAATGGATCTTTCAAAAGCAAATTCTTTAAAAATTTATAAAAATTATTTTAAAAAATATTTTTAATATTTATATTTACCCAAATATGAGATGTTTAAAACACCTTGTGGTTTATATGGTAGAAGCTAGATTTTCTAAGATGCCTGGTACCTAGCATGATGTTTTGGAGTTTATATATCTTGGGGGGAGCAATCCCTTCACATCACAACATGTTATTTGCATCCGAGTAGATTTTACCATTTTCATGTACTGTGCTTTGCAGCAAATCATTTGTCAGTTATTAAAAAGACCTAATATAAAAACATTCATAAAAAAACATTCCTGGAAAAATGTTGTTACTTGACTGTTTCCAGAGTTGAGATTCTCAGATAAACAGTCTTTTCTGTTTTTCTTTAAAGCTATATTTTTTGGACATTTAAAACATGGCTTGTGCTTGCTTCGGCAATACTAAAACATGGCTTTCCATTTATGTTTTATTAAATATTGTTATGTATTGTTATACAAATGTAAAATATAATAATGATTTTTATAATATAAATTGAAAATGTTAACTTGATCAAGCCATGTACTGAGCTAATCTTTTTTTACCAAGGACTGTTGGCGGGTGTTTGCTGAGTAAGTGCAACTTCTAATCTTATTGTGACTAATTACATTTATTTGTGAAATATCAAGTTGAGATTAGAATATCTTATTACCATCATGGAAGATCTTGAAGTTGACTCACTAGTACAGTAATCAAAACATGGTTTTATTAACATAATGCTTTAACCAAACAACTGAACCTATGTGAAACATATTTTCGGAGCCAGTGGCAAGCATGAATTGGAATAATACCACTAGAAGCCATCAGACCCCAAAAATGATATGCAGTCACTTGGCCATATTTGGATATTCTCTTTGCCTTGAAATATCTATCTTGAACAGCAAATATTTGTGATTCCTTCTGTATTATGTTATAGTAAATACTTAAATGAAAGTGATTTGGTTGCATTCAAATACAAGTGATTATATAGCAATCATTGGCAATTATTTCATTAAAACAAAATTGTGACTGGAAGGCAATTACATTTCCAAAATTAAGCTATTCTATTTCTTTTTTTCCCTCTAAATAGTTAACACAAATTATGCGAACTGGACAAAACACTTGGGAAAGTAAAAATATTCTTGCTGTTTCATTTGCTCCACTTGTGCAACCAAGTAAGAATGATAATGGCAAACCAGATTCAGTGGGACTCCGTAAGTAACCATTGGTCCTTTCCCATTGAACTGTGACTTTAACTTTGATGCTCAGCATTTAATGAACTATATGATTATGAAGAAATAAATATATATGCAGTAATATATTCAGTGGGTTTAGTCAACTATTTTTTTCTTTTTTGATAAAGCCCCTACCTTGTACCAGACACCGTTAGCTGCCTTCACAGAAACATGACAAGAAGGGGCAAGTTAAACAAAATAAATTTAACTCCTTGCTATAAGTGGATAGAGTTAGTTGTTTGAAGGTAGAAAAATGGTGGACTATATAGGAAGTATTGATGGAGGAAAAAGAGGTATCTAAAGTTTGCCTTGAACAACTAGCTGAGTAATGGTACCATTGTTTGATGTTTGGAAGACTGCAGGTGGAATAGTTTGGAAATAGGTGTAGGAAGATCAGATATTTTATTTTGGCCATATTCGAGTTTTCTATTAGCATATAAATATCAGGTAGTCAAGTGAGTGTACACCTACTGCACTTGAGATTAGAATATCTTATTACCAAGGGAGGTATAAATTGAGAATCCTCAACATAAGGATGGCATTTTAAGCTATGAGAATGGATGAGACCACTTAGGGGAGAGTAAAGATATAGGGAAGAGGTATTAGGATTGAACCTGTGGTCCACCAAATTCAGAGATGAAATGGAGGAAGATGTACTAGCAAAGGAAGGGCCAGAGAGATGGGAGGACACAGTGAGCACAGTGTTTTGAAACCAAGAAAGAAAAGTATTTCAGAAAAGGGAGTGATCAGCTTACTGAAGGCTAGCTACTAAGACCTTAAGAAAGAAGAAGAAACCATTAAGTGAAGTTCTTAATAAATGAACCTTACCTTAGTAGAACTTTTGCTTTAATTTGCTTTTTAATTGAATTTATATCATAGGAACCTGGGTTTGTAAAGAGATTCAATTTTATTTTCAGTTTTCATTTTACCTTCTTTTGAGCTCTGATTTTATGGCCCTTTGGAATGATATAAAGAATTATATGAAGTAGTATTTTTAAAGTGCTTGGCATGTAATAATTGCTTAATAAAAAGTAGTGTTGGGATTTGGGGAGGATCAGTAAATTATACCTGTTTATCCCTGCTCAAGTTCTTACCAATGGAAAGATGGACTTGGGATCAGAAAGCTAGGAATTGAAATGTCAGCTTTTGTTACCAACCAAAGTAGGTGGGAGAATATGGCTTAAGTCTCCACCCTTAAATTAGACAGACTTACCCAGCCAGTTACCCACAACACTGGCTAAACCCCCTACTGTGTGAGCTTACCCTCTAAACGTGGGTAAGTAGAGCTCAGTGTACGTACTTCTAAGTAGACATATCGTAATGAGGGATGAGATCTCATATCTGTTTCTATTTACCTATGTTCACAAAACTAATCATTGGCAGAAATAGGACTTGAACTCCAGTCTAGTCAAAAAAGATAGATTTTGGGTATGCTCTGGGATCAAAAGAGACTTCTTTCTTTCTAGACCTAGAATTAAGTAATTGTCACTTGTATTCAAATGAGTTATGCTATTATTTCAATGAAGTCTACTTTTCTTGTTGGCTATATACACCCCTCTCCACATATATACTTATGTGTGTGTGTGTGTGTGTGTGTGTGTGTGTGTGTGTGTATGTGTATATGTATAACGTATATACTACATAGTATATAGTGGACTATGCTATAATTATTGAATACTTAAAATCTCTGTGCTAAAAGCAACAGTAGTAACAAAGTAAAACTGTTTTCCCTCCTTATTTTCCAAGTATTGGAATTATAGTTTATGACACTTTTGTTAAGCCTATTCAAACTGGTTGGAGAGTTGTAAAGAGAAGCAATGAAAAAATTCCCTGACAATTTGGTTTCGACAGTGGCCTAACCATAAGCATAATGCGCATCATATATAACTTTACTTACAGAGTTCCTTGTAGATTTCTGCATAATGGCTATTTAAGTGTTTTACTTTGTAATTGACACTATTACAACCTTCAGCATTCTTCTTTTTATCTGATAATCTTCCTAATTTAGTTTCCTTTAGAAGAGTCTTGGTTGTAAATGTGGTTTTATAGTAACACATTTTAAGAATGGCATGGATGATGATGTGCTTTAAACAAGCATTTTTGTTCCTCCTCATTTTTAAGGGTGTTAACACAGATTGATCTGGGTAGTTAATAAGACTGTCATTGGTTGGGTTTATTGACATTTGTAACTGTGAATGTAAAGTAGGAATAAATTTGGTAGAAAAGGACAAAATGGGAGAAGAGCCTAAATTAAAAATAAAAGTCCACCATACTTCTGAAATATTTATAGGTAAAATAATGTCTAAATTTCTTATCAAAATAATATGGAGTGGGGATAGGAAGAGGAAATGGGAGTGCTGATGAAGTCAGGTTAGCCACAAGGGATAATTATTGAGGCCGACTGTCAGGTATATGGGATTCATTATACTATAAACTCTATTTTCGTTTATATTTGAAAGTTTCTAATAAAAAATGAGTTAAGAATTATGAGTTTTTAAAAAATAACTTCATATAGTAATGTTCTTATATTACTTCATATAGTAATTTTTTCATATAGAATGAAAAAATTTTGAAAATTTGTCAAAATTTAATAGAATATGTGGAGAATAAGAAAAGTTTCATTTTTTGTTTAAATAGCTTTCTGGTCAGAGAACATTATTTTATTAATCATAGGGTGTTAAAATATGAAAGAATGTTAGTACCAAAAGCCCCTAAGAAAATATACATGTAAATCCTTTGCCAAATGTATTTTGTAGCTATGGAATTGCTCGTGTGAGCAGTTACTAAAATGTAACAGTTCCCCAAGTTATGCCTGTATACTTAAGCCCTTATCACTCACACTGACTTTGAGTCACATGATTTATACCCTCTTTAATAAAGAATTTGTACTACCATAAAAAAAAAGTAACAGTTCCTCAGATTTATCACTAATTTTTATTCAACTTAAAGGCATATTCCTTTCTCTTTTTTGGTATAGAACAGTCTAAAAATAAGGACACAGTGCTTAAAGTTCAGGGCAGGCCCTTTAGGAGGGGTAAAGGAAAAAATGCTATACCAAACTAAAAGAAAACTGTTTTCTCTGCATACAACCCACCAGTATTTCTGTATTCCAGATGTGTGGATTTTTCCACACACAGCAGTGCTTCAATTTTTTGTGAATACCAATGAGGTGTCTATGATCTCATTGATGTTCACAAAAAATTGAAGCACTGCTCTGTGTTTCAATCTTTTATGTTTGACATAGCCAGTCTTAGCACAGACCCCACAGGTTAAGAGCTCTGTCCCAAAAGACTTCCCCCTCCCTCCAGCTTCAGATACCAGTTGCACATCCTGTGTCATCTGTGTTTCTGACAACGTGCTATAAATTAGAGGTTCCCGTGACCACCTCCTAGAGTTTGATAGTTTGTGGCTCACAGAACCTAGGAAAAGTTTTACAGTTTACTTACTAGACTACTAGTTTATTTTAAAGCAGGAACAGCCAGATGGAATTGATGCATTGGACAAGGTATGCTACCTGCTTCGTACTTCCACGTGTTCATCAGCCCTGAAGCTCTGTTCACCCTTTTGGTTAGGGTTCTTTATGGAGACTTGATTGATTAACTCGATCTCCTGCCCCTGTTTCCTCCCTGTGGGGGGAAAGGGGAAGGGTGCTGAAAGTTCCAGTTCTCTAATCACATGGTTTGTTCCCCTTGGCAACCAGCCCAGTATCCTTAGGGGTTTACAAAGTCACCTTATTAACATAAACTCATGTGGGGTTGAAAGGAACTCCTATGAACAACAAAATATGACTCATATAACTCCTTTCCCCTTTATGATCTTATTTAGGAAATTTCAAGTGTTTTAGGAGCTCTGTGTCAGGAATGGGAAGCCAAATGTATATTTCTTATAAATCACAGTATCACAAGGAATTAAGGAGACTCCATAAATTTTGGCGCTGTACCACATTGAGCTATATGAAGTTGCTTTTTTTGTAGGGTAAAAATGGCCAAAACTGGTTGATTGGAGGGTTTGACCTAAATAAAATGTCTTTTTCAGTCTATGTTAACAAATGAACATGAAAGTGCTTGACTGCTAGGTTCTTATAAAATCTGTATAGAGACTACCTTTTGGGAAATGAATAGAGCTTACACGTATGTGTTAGAGATAACCTTAATTGTAATTATGGAGTGAAAACTTCAAAATAAGATTTTATAGCAGTCAGGATTAGTATTATCTGGTCTATTAAATTCTTATAACTGGAAGCATGGGAGTGTCAAAGAATAAAAAATATTAGGGATTTTTGAATAGGTAAGGCTGAGAATTATCTAGAAGTTTTTGTATCATTCAGAAGAACTTTGAAATGAAGCTCATGTGGATGCTATTTTTGTACTTATGAGTGTTAGAAGCTACTAAAGTCAAATCTGACTTCTTTTCAACTCTGAGTCTAATTGGTTCTTTATGAAGTTCAGGTATTCTGACAGTTTGGGATTGAAAAGTTCATCATTGTAAGAGTGTCCCTGGAATAGCAGACAGTGTTGGCAGAGAAAAGAACATAATTAAGGAGTTTAAAGAGAATACCAATAATGTGAGAGAAGTTCAAGAGACAGCTGAGAAGACTAATTATAGCTTCTATTTCTTAACTCCTTTATAATTTCCAAAACTCTGAAAGGTTTATTTTCTACCCTCCTCTTTTGCAGCATTCACTCACAATTCTAGGCCTTTTCTTTGTTTATACTCCCTCTTGGGTCGTTGCTTTCCTAATCCTTGCCTGTCACGATGGGCTGGTGACTCCCACATTTCTATCTCTGTTCCTGACCTTGCTCCTAAATCCCAGCCATATTTAACTGCTTGATTAGAAAGGAGCATAGACTCTGAAGTCACATGCCTACATTCAGGTCACAATTCATGTCACCTATGACCTCTGTGACCTTGAGCGAGTTATTTAACCTCTCTCTACTTCATTTTCCTCATTTAGCATTAAGTGAATTATTGCATATAAAATGTTGTCATTACTGTTCCTGAAATCTGCATTTTTGATATGTAATAGACACTTCAGATTTAACACAAACTAAACAAGTATTTTCTTCTCCCCAAACTGTTCTTCCCCTTTGTCATGGTCAGTAATTGACATTGGCATCTGCCTTTTTGATTGGGCCCCAAACTCCCACATCAGGTCCCTGTCCATCCTGTCTTCAAAATATATTTCAAATCTGTCCACTTTTCTCCATCTTTACTGCCATCCCCCCTTACTCCCATCTCTTATCAAGTGTGGTCACATCTCATTGGATCACTGGGGTGTTCCAGCTGATCTGCATTCTTTCATTAGAATCCATACTCCACAGAGGAGCCAGAGTGTCATTTTCATTGTATTACAACCTCTGCCTTCTTAAAACCCTCCAATCGCTGCATGGCAAATACAATGTGCATTCTTTACCGAGGCCTACAAGACCGTGCATGATCAGATCTCTTAGTGTTTTCTTCCTGCTCTACACTTCATCTACACTAACCTTCTTTTAGCTTCTTGAATCTGCTAAGCTTGTTTACCTCTTAGGGCTTTGATAGTCCCTCTGCCTCAAGATATTTCTATGGCCGTTTCCTCATGTCATTTAGATCCTAGCTCAGACGTGACTATCAGGGAGACCATTTGGACTACTTAGTTGAAAGTAGCCATACCCTGATGTTACTTTCTACATCATTGGTGTGTTTTTTTTCCATATTCCCTGTTTTTTTCCCCCATAATTATTTGTATCTACCCCCTCCCCCAAATACATAATCTCCATGAAATCAGGGACTTTCTTAGGCTAAATCATCCACTCTGTATAACTTTAACAATTCTAGCATATAGTTCTTTAACAATACCTGGCATATATTTTAACACATAGTTGTTGAATGAATATTAAATAACTTAATGAACAATTTTGGGAGGTAAGCAGAGTAGGTGGTATTTTACACGTTTTAACATGAGGGATGAGATCTCATATCTGTTTTTATTTACCTATGTTCACAAAACTAATCATTGGCAGAAATAGGACTTGAACTCAAATTGTTGTGTGTTGTTTCCACTTCATATAGTTGGGCGGAGGTCCAAACAAAAAAAATGGTTTCAAGCTAAACCTACCCAATATAGATCTTTGGAATTCTTTTCCATTTTAGGTTTCAGTAGGGAGTTGAAAAAAGACAATTTTATAAGAAAAGATTTTTCTTTTCTTCACATGTAATAATGCTGAGAGATCTTTGAACTGGTCTAAAAGATCTCCTACTCTGGGGTTTTAGGAAAAGCCGCATCTACTATTGCAGGGTGTATCCAGTTTGTGATTGGCCATAGCCCCAGGTACTTGGGTATGGTAGGCTGTTGCCGTGAGCCTTGGATAGGATGTTGTATTGTGCAAGGCTGGCTCCTACAGGGCCCTGTGGGGTGTACAAAGGGGAGATGCCACAGCTCTTCCCCTCCTAGAGCTTGCAGTCTGATGGCAAAGACAGACCGTATATGAGTAACTACACAAGGCAGGATTTCAAATGTTATAACAAGTTTGGAAGGGAGGTATGCAGAAAAGAGTACCAAAAGTAAAGAAATAAAAAACAAACAAGGATTTTTTGATGCTGTTTAACTGAGGAGGATTGTGTTTTGTTTTGCTTAGGTATTTGAGAAAGATCTTAGATAATAGTTTAATTTTCCCAGGGGAGAAATGAACTTTAGGTAAAAACTAGAGAATTTATTTATCTATGTATAAAGTATTGGAACAGGCTACAAAGAAGAGTATGTAGTTCTAGGGCTTATTTATGCATTTATCTATCTGTGGGAGATGAGAGTGAAGCATAAAGGATGTGTTTCAACTTTGTGATGTACACACAGGCTTGTATCTAAAATCATAGCTTTAGAGCTTAGACTCAGGCAGCTGTTTTAATGTTGCCTTTGAGTTTTTTAATAGACTTTTTCACATCAAAAAGTATAAAAGAAATACGTATGGTAAAAATCTCTGCCGTTCTTGTCCCCTATTTAACTCTCATATACTGTTTATAAGTTCTTATTTTTCCTTCCAAAGAATTTTTATGAATATACATGGAGACATACACATCTGTACATAAAAACTTCTGCACTGTCTACTGTTCTCAGTATTTAGAATGGTGATTGGCATTTGGGAAGCAACCTGAAATCTTTGTTATTTGAAAGTCAGAATTTTTATTCTTTCTTTGTTTTCTAACATTCACTAAAAGATATATATATTTTGTTCTGTGGGGAAATGAATAATATGTTTTGTTTATGTTTTGTGCGTGTTGTTTGTTTGTTTTAGCCCCCTGTGCTGTCAGGAATCTACAGGACTTGGCTCGTATTTACATTCGACGCACACTTAGAAATTTCATAAATGATGAGATGCAGGCCAAGGGGATTCCTCAACGGGCTCCACCCAAAAGGAAAAGAAAGAGAGTTAAACAGAGAATTAACACTTATGTGTTTGTGGGTAATCAGCTTATTCCTCAGCCTCTCGACAGTGAGGAGGATGAAAAAATGGAAGAAGATAACAAAGAAGAGGAAGATAAAGATCACAGTGAAGCCATGAAACCAGAGGAGCCTCCTCAGAATTTACTGAGAGAAAAAATCATGAAGCTCCCCCTCCCTGAATCTTTAAAAGCTTACTTGACATATTTTAGAGAAAAATAACTTAAATCAAGAAGAAAGAATGCCTACTGATAATTCCTTTAGTCTTGAAAATGTAGCATTTGTTAGAAGTTAAGAGGAGAGCAGTCTCTCTCAGAGCGAATTATAGTGGGAAAAAAGTATAACTTGTTTCTGTCTTAGTAATACAAATAATGTATTCAGTGATTTAAAAAATCCTTTTATAAAATATATTTTTCTTTAAATCTTGGAAAAATTACTGTTTTAACTCAGTGACTTCAAGAGTGGAATGCAACAATAGTCAAGACTGTGTACTATAAATCCTTTTCTGATTCCTTACAGATTTGTAGTCGTGAGGATTAGATTTAATTTTATATAAAGTTAAATAATTGTTAAGCATATATGATCTTATTTGAATTGCAGTTATTTGCATTTCCTCTATGAAAACTTTCTTATCTAACAAAATCAAATACTTTGTAGACCCACTTACCATACTTTTTTTTGCAGTCACTATTGCTGAGTTACTCTAGATGTATTCCGGGCATATATGAGTGCAATAACAATACAGATATTGAATAATTTAGCTTTAAAAAAAAGTTTCATGGAATTCAACAGCACTGCTACTTTTGCTTTTGAATCTATTGCCAAAAGACATGGGGAAAATATTCGCTTCTCTCATAGAGATTTTAAGAGCACATCAAGTGATTGATTAAAGTAAAAAGTATATACTTAATACAACTCTTAATTTGTATGGACCCTTTACATTTTCAGTATTTAAAAATAATGAGGTTATATTACTCTCTTGAGTTTTAGAAGATAGTATATTTAGGACTTTTTTTTCTGTAATATACTGTATAAAGTATTTAGTTTAAAAAAATCCATCGTTCTATGACTGTTGATAGCACAGATGGTGAGTGAATAAGTACCAGTGATGGCCACTTTTTGGATCATGTTTGGTAGCACGGCCAGAGCAGATTTGGTCAGCAGGGTGCACTTTAGCAAGTGGAACTTCTAGTTCATCTGAGTATTTATCTTTGACAAGGTAGGGCTGAGCTAGCCTACATTTGCTTTAAAATGCATCTTTGTAGTAGAAGAAATACTCACAGAAATTGTATGTAGTTTAGAGTCATAGTGTAATCTTTGGGACCTATGTTGTGCTCATTTTATTTCTTCCCATGTTTTTCTTGTTATTTTTTTTGGTAAAATAATGATTTTCATTTTTTGCTTAATGTCACATACTTAAACTATCCATCATTTGAATGTTAATTGTAGCTTATCAGTGATAACACGGGTAGTGAATGCCATTATTAGTTTCTTTTCATCCAATTAGGGCCTGAAAACAGTCATTCCTTGTTCAGAAGGTATACGCGTATAACATATTTAGTAATTAGTATTACAAGGATTATATATTTTTAAAATGAAAAATTTGAGAGTGTCACTTATTACCACCAGCATCACTATTACAATAGTTGTTCAAATATGTTTAAAGAAACCCAATCAGTGTACAGTGAAGGGATTATCTCTCTGCAAAGATTCAACTATTAGTAATATATAGATGGTTTCAAAAATTTCAACTCTGGTAATTCATATCTACCAACAAGTATTTGAAATATTCTAAGTATGAGTTATCCCAAGTAAATGAGCATATTTTAGTCGTGTGAAAGTAATTTCATGAAAGGTTATTTGTTTTATACCAGTGACTGACAGAGGCTATGAGTTGAGAGTATCTCCACAGTTTTTCTCAGATGATTACTAAGCTGTTATTTAAAAATGCCCCATCTCATTTCTATCAAGGAAAAAAAAAATGTATAAGTTGTCATCTATTAAAAATGTTGATTTCATATTGAATTAAATGTTAGTTTTAGAATTTTGATCTTGAGTTCCTGGTGACCAGGTATTTTTATCTATTACCACCCCCAGCCCCCCCACAATACACACATATACATGTGCATGTGTGCAGACACACACAGACTGTTGTTTTTGGAGCTGTGGTCCAGATATGGAAACACTGATATTCTTAAAGGATGATTTTACTGTTCAGGAGAGAGTTTTTGTTAAGGATAAATTTGAAGATTGACTTTTTCATTTTTTTTTTTTCTGTTGACCTTGGCAAAGTATTAAGTAGATTTTGTGATCATTGCATATTTTTGGTCATTGAAATGTATCTTCGTTTTTTCAATGCATTCATTTTACAGTTGTGACTTTAAAGAAGTAGAAATAAAAAATGAAAATTCAAGTGAAATTTATCTATTAATGGAATATTAGAATGATTAAGAATACGTTGGGGTTTGTGTTTATTTTTTTAATGCATTCATGTTTACTTGAGTATAGGTAATCGTGCTTTGTAAGTGGAGAAGTAGCAAATAAAGATGAAGTAGAATTAATTGAAAATGGTGAGGAATATATTCATGCAATTTTACAGCCAGATAAAAGAATAGAAATAATCTAATCCAGTCTTATTTTGCAAGAGAAAGTAGGCCTAAGAAAGTAGCATGGTTTTCCTAAGTCAGACAGCTAGTTGGAGTCAGCTCGAAATAGCATTCAGCATCTGATAAATCCCGAGAAGTTTGTCAATGGCAGCATAACTACTAAGAAAATAAATCTATACTGCTTAATTGGTCAATATATTTCATTCTAGTATTAATAAAGGAAAATGCCATTAAAATGGCATATACGGTGATTAAAATAAAATATGAAAAATGTAAGTGTTGGTTTCTAGCTGTCTGAGGGAATAAAAGCAAAACCTGTTAAACTATGGGAAGACTTGGAAAATTATTTTAAATAAACAATTGCATATAATTAAGCATAATTCTCCAGTGGCGTGGCTTTTTCTTTTTTAATTTAGAAAACCTTTACATCTATGGATATATGCTGAATTACAGTTACAATTGTCTGGATTTTTTTTTTTTTTAGGCAAGGCAACCCTTGATTGACCTCAGAGATTATAAGGACCTTGTCAGCTTACAATCCCTTATTTTTTATTTTTTACACCTACAGCACGTGGTCTTCCTAGGTGGTCTCTCATCCCAGTTCTAACCAGGCCCGACCCTGCTTAGCTTCCAAGATCAGACGGAATCGGGCTTGTTCAGGGGTAGCATGGTTGTAGACCCAGTTGTCTATATTTGGACAACTCATTTCCTTTTGACTATCGCCAGCTCTAAGGAGTGTAGGGTTTTTTAAAAAAATTATTTTTATAAAATATTCAGTAGATCTGAAGCTTATTCATAAGATGTGTAAAGTACAAGGAATAATTCAGTGTACATGTAAATACAGCAAGTCACAGCATCGTTGATAAGTTCTTGGAAACTGACTTGAAATGATGTATAATGAAACCAATTTTATATGCTAATTGATATAAACAAGAGTTAAGTTTCTACCTTCTATTTCTGGTCACATACTTCTAAATAAAGACCGAAACACTGATGATATTAAACATTGAGATATGAGTGATACATTTAAGAAGATGAATGAAAATAAGATCTTTTCCAACCCACTTATTCCAGCTAAGAGTTGTGGGTGGCCAGAATGTATCCCAGCAGCTCAGGGCACGAGGCGGGACAGGACATCCTTCCATCGCAGGGTGCACTACACACACCCACACACACTGGGACAATTTAGACATGCCATTTCACCTCAAGTGCATATCTTGAGGTGTGGGAGGAAACCAGAGCACACACAGAAAACAGTATCTGCCAGGAATCAATTTTTTTCTCATAACAAAATGATGTTGAAGGAAATGACTTTTTTTTTTTTTTTTTGTGAGGATCTGCTTTAAATGTGTGTTTTGACCACGAGGCTTGATTACCATTACCTGTGCCCCTTCCCAGTCTCATCTTAATTCCAACCTCCTCATGGGTAACCCTTTTGTGTTTATCATTACTTTGCTTTTTGCTATAGTATTTTATCATGTGCTTGTATCTGTAAACTATATTATTCGGCTTAATGCATGCTTATATATGTGTATCATGCTATATGCATTCTTTTGTAGCATACTTTTTCATTCCACATTACCGTTCTGAGGTTGGTCCGCATTGTATATAGTTAGGTTACTTACATTCACAACTCAGTTTAATTATTCATTCTAGTGTTGATGGACACTTGTTGTTCCATCAAAAAGTTTAATCTTTAACATTCTTCAATATGTCTTGTGGCTATACATGTGCAAGAGTCTTAGTGTATATATCTAGGATAAGTACTGGGTCACGGGACAAGTTTCTATTCGCCTTTACTAGATTGTGCATTTTTGTTTGCCAAAATAGTATAACACTATATGTTCCTTCTAGCACTGTTTAAATGTTTCAATTTTTTCATATACTCACCTACATTTGATAGTTTTGTCTCTGGTAGTATGAAGTGATATATGGGCTTTGTTACTAAAGAGAGTTTTTTTACAAGTGTTTATTGATTTTAGGTTTTCTTTATACAAAGTTCCTATTCAAGGATTTCATCATTTATTTGGTTGATTCTTTTTAAAATTAGCTTGTAGGATTTCCTTCTGTAATCTGGATATTGATCCATTGTCAGTTAAATATGTCACAAATATTTTTTCTCAATTTGTGGTTTCTGTTCTCATCTTTTTTTGTGGTGTCCTGATGAATTGGCATTTTCAGTTTTGATTGTGTTCAATTCATCTTCTCATACTCTCAATCCCAAGATCATGAAAAAAATTAGCATAAATATATATATATAAGTCTATATATATATATTTTTTTTTTTTAACTAAAGTCCCACGATTTTTGTGATTCACATTTAAGTCAATAGCATACATGCTATTGCTCTTCATGTAAGGTGAGAAATAATAGTTCAGTTTCTTCATTTTACCTTATCAATTGTTTTAGCACCATTTTTTGAAAAATCTCTGAACTGCATGTTAACTTTATTATAAATTGTTTTCTTATGTTTGCTCTGTATCTAGGCTTTCTTTATTAGTTGATACATTGATCCCTTTGCTTCACTGTATTGTTTTACTATAAATGTATAATACTTGATCTAGTAAGGTAAGTTCCTTCAACTTATATTTCAGAAGTTTCTTGGCTATTCTTAGACCCTTAGACTTTTATATACATTTTAGAGTCAGCTTCTGAGATTAACACACACGCGCGTGAGCACACACACACACACAATCCTCTTGAGATTTCATTTGGAATAACATTGAATTTATAGATCAATTTGTGTGAGAACATATTTATGATGTGGAGTCCTTACATTTATGAATATGGTACTTCTCTCTTATTTAGGTCTTATTAAATATCTTAATAATATACAGTTTTATCTCTGACCTCTTTTATTAGATTTATTTGTAGATATTTTGTACTTTTCAATGCCATTGTACTCATTAAAATTATATTTTGCTCCTTTTATTGATTTCTGTACATTATTTAAATCGGCACAGCCTTATGATTCTTGTAAGTTTTCTATAAGAAATAGAAAATCAAGTCACCTTTAAATAAAGATAGCTCATTTTTTCCTTTGAGTTTTATTTTATTTTGCCAGACTTGTTGGTTGGAGCCTCCAGTATAGTGCTGAATAGAAGTAATGAACAAGAGCAGCCTTATTTCTTATTTTTTCACCTCTAGTCATTTTTAATAAATGGCTTGGTGTGCCATGCACACACACACACACACAGACACATATACATATATATACATATATACATTTCTGCAGTTCAGAGTAGTGTTCTATAAATGTTAGTTGAATCATTTTTAATTGTTAAAACCTAATATAGTCTAAACAACTTGTGTGTGTGTTACACCATCAGTTTTTTAGCAAAACTTTTCACTTTGATGATGAAATATCACTTCCTTGTAGTTCTTTCAGTTTTTGCTTTGTATATTTTGATGTGATGATACTACGCTTTAGGTTTGCTATGTCTGGTGATTTGAAACTTTAACATTTAAGGACTCTGTATTCTTTGTTTATAGCAGTTTTTTTTTTTTGGTTAGTAGCTATTGTATCTAGTTAGTATTGTATTTTTTTTAATTTCCAACCTTTTCTGTATCCTTATGTTTAAAATGTGTTTCTTATTAATGACATATAGTTGAGTTTCTCAAAAATGTTTGGACAGTGAATTTTATTTGAAGCATTCTACTCATACATTCATTCTAAAAATTACTATAGAATAATATTTTGTGCTATACATCTGTTTTATGTTTTTGTTTTCTCCTTTTTTTAGGATTATTGTTTCTCCTATTTTTTTGTCCATTATTCTCTTTTTCTGTTCTTTTATTGGTTATCCTCAACATTTTAATACACGCATCCAAATTATCAAAGTCTAAAGTTATTCACACCCCTATCTTCCTCCTAAGTGATACAAAGCACTTTGGAACACTTTAATTCTGAAGTCATCACCTCAGAATTATATGCTAGTGAATCATATGTTTTATTTCTAAAGTTTTAAGCCTCCATTGTACACCATTACTAATGTTTATTTAATCAATGCTTAATTAACTTTACTCCCACATTTACACTTTTTTCCTGCTCATTTTTTCCTTTTTCTGTAGTACATCCTTTTGAATTTCTTTTAATGAAAGACTGCGGGTAGCTAACTTAGTTTCGTCTGTCTGAAAATAATATATTCTTCTCTTGGCATTGATAATTCTCTAGTTTCATATACTATGCTGAGATATAACACACACACACACACACACACACACACACACATATATATATATATATATATTTTTTTTTTTAATAAATAATTTATCTTACCTGGTATTTTGTAGCTGTGTGATTTGGTCTCTCATCAGTTCTGGAAATTCTTGGTCTTTTTTTTTTCCTTACGAATATTGCTTCAAGTTTTTGTCTCTCAGCATTGCATTCTAAAGAATTTGTTCAAATATATCTTCCAATCACTAATTCTTCCTTCGATTGCTTTAAATTTACTATTAAACCCTTACACAGTTTTAACATGTTAATTTTTAATTTCTAGTTCTGCTTTTTCAAATCTGCTTGGTTTTATAATTTTCTATTCAAATATGTCCAATTCTTTAAACACACTGAACCTAATTATTTTATATTTCTCATATCTCATTCCAATATTTGAATACCAGTAGGTAAGCTTATGTTCATTATGTTTCTGATGGCTAGTTTCATAACTCCATTTTTCTTGCATTTTGTGGGGTTCAACTGAGCTCGTATTATAAAACTTTATATGTGAGAATTATTAGAGACTTGGTTCGTTCTTGCCAGAAGCACTACTAGCTCATGATCCCTTTAAATTCTTGGTTTAAGTATTTCTAACCACTTAGGTATAGTGGCCTAAAAGTCCATGTAAAAAAATTAGTGATATTACATCTCCAGGGAGATTTTATTCCCTCATAGCAAGATTTGAAATGGGCAATTTTCCCTGTAGTATCTGGGTAGATGGAGGAAAGGGCTAAGGTGGATTATTTCTAGTTCATCCTTAATGAATTTGACGGAAATGCAGATTTTCCAATTAAGTCTCCCCATTTAGGAAAGAGTTTTTTTCTTCTCTTTCCCGTACCCCTGCTATCCCAATATCTGAAGCTAATTTCACTTGGTTAAGCAAATACTCGAGCTGGACCAGCCTTCACTGCTTACTTACCTTTCTGGCTCCTCATTTTCACTTCATTTTTGGACTCTTGTATATATGTCCTATTGCACTGAACACATTGATGCATTAGAAACTTCATAATATCTAGAACATATATTAGTTTTCTAATGGAGAGTTGTCCTAGAGCATTGTCAAACCTACAGTCTCCATAGTGGCTGTGTCATGCATTTGGTTCTTCTGTGCCTTACAGTTCTCACCCTATACCCAGAGTAGGTAATCAGATTTTTTTTCCCTCATTGAATGTCAACTTAGCATTCTAAAGTACAAATTTTTAGTTCTTCCTTCTGGAAAAAATTCTCTATGAATATAAAGTCTGTTATATTTTGAACTGAAAACATAATGCACAAATGTGCATGTCTCATCTAAGTACTCCAAAATCACAAGCATTGGCAAGAGCATAGTAATTATAGGAGTGGAATTAAGAAGAAATTGGCTTTTTTGGTTAATGCTATACTTAGACAATAAAAGACACATTAACAACATCAAACATACTTAAAGATTAATGTATGTTAAATTGTTCATGGAGATTTAATTTTTTTCTTCTGATCATATTTTAATCAAAAGCCTCACATATTTAAATTTGAACATTTTGCCAAAAGAGGGCAGTATTCACCTATAGTAAAATGTAAAGGGCCTGACAATTTCCTGGGGGAAAAAGACTATAAAATTTAATACAATTTGACAACACTAGCACTCCACTCACTAGATTTGTAGTCTTGTCTGGTCATCTGGGATTGTTGCCTAAATTGGACCATCCAAGTTTTAATTTGTTCTTCTGTTACTTTTACATTTTTAAAAGTGCTAGTTTAGGGATGATATTTGTTTGAGATTTTTCAGTCCTTAAAGATAAAACCAAAAACCTTTCTCAAATATTTGTTTACAGAGTGATCAAAAAATGCATGTTTAACTTAAGAAGGCTGCTGTTTTCACCAGTGTCCCTGGAGAGAATCCGCTCACCCTAGTGAAACGTGGCCAGTTAAAACTGCTCATGAAAAATGAGACTCCAGCCAACAGCGCAGCCAACAGCGCAGCCAACAGCGCAGCCACCGAGTTCAGAAGTGTCTCAGCCTTGTTCTGCTTTACATACTTAAACATGTTTGTCTATCATTCTGTCTCCTCTACAAGTAGGTATATGAGTTTGAGATTTAAACATAGTTTTAAACATTAAATATTAAAGGAAGAAATCCGAAGTAGCTGGTTTGAATCCTATATGAATGAAATTCTATAGAATAGAATATATAGAAGGAAATGAAACCATTTTTCGAAAACAAAGTTTGGAGACTGGGAAGGACTATGTGTTCCCAGATCAACTAATTAGAATTCTGCCTGCCCTTTAAGATCTGGTAATGTTATCAGATAAGACCAAACGCTCCTCTGTATGGATTCGATAAATAAGTAATCAACTTGAGGTTCAAAAGGACAACTAGGGGCTAAAAGGCCGGAGTCCACAAACAATGTGCAGTGGAAGCTGGAAAAATTTGTTTGCATTATGCTGCCTAAAGAGCACATTTGTTGCACAGAGAGGCTTTTGCAGTGTGACAAGCTTCTCCGGGTCCTGGGAGTCCAGCTCCCTCTATAGCCACCTGGTGCCCTCGGCCCTGTAATGTGATCCTCCTGGATTGGGCAGGGGCTGCGTTTTCCCTGGGAGACACACTTAGCCAGGGCTCCCAAACTCGGCACAGCCCAGCAGCAACCACCACCGCCGCTGCGGCTGCTCTTCCTTCTGCTGCTTCGCTTCCAGCAGCGAACGGAACGATGGAAGCCAGATTGCTCTGCTGGACCACTTGCTCTCTTCCGGCCACGCGGTGCCTGCCAGTGCTGCCCTGCCCTAGCCGGTGCCTGGGCTTGAAGCGCGCCTCCGCGGCATGTGGTCTTGACGCTGGATCACATTCCTCAGGTGCCGCGGCAAACCGCAGTCCTGCAAGTGCCCACGGTTCCCGGTTCAGTGCTGCGTCATTGCCCTCTGCCATTCTTTTAATTTAGGATTCCCGATGCTCACTGCTTGGATATTTGGAAGAGATTTTTCAATTTTCAATTTTCAAACAACTTAGAAAATGTGAGTAATGGTAAGCTGAAATACATATATTTGCCCTAAGTGCAGTTCTTTTTTCCAACATCTTCCAAAACTCACCATTGAGAATTTTCATCTTTCTTCAGTAATTTTCCTGAATAGGTTCTCTATTACCTTTCATCCTCTCAAATTTTTCAGACTCTTAATTGGGTCAGCATGTGTCTGTCCCATTTGGAAAGAACTAATTTAGCTTCTGCATGTGGTTCCAATTTACCTGCTGGCAAATTGCATTTCTTTTGTTTATTTTTGGGCTTTGTATTGCGTGTGCATTCCAGGTGGGTGATGTTCTCAGCCTGACGCCCTTGAAACACTATTGGTTTTCCAAAGCAGACCCTCCAATGGTCTGCTAGAACTCTGGGTGCATAGAAACCTTACTGAGCAATGACTAACAACGAATCAGCACCTAGAAGGCATTAGGGGATGGTAGAATAAACCAGAATTTAGGACTCAAATGGGCCTGGATTCAAATCCTACTTCCTTGTGTTTAATACGGGATAATAAACCTGTATCACTGAATTGACATTTAGATTAAATTAAATAATATATGTGATGTGAAAATCTTTTATTATCATAATTTTCAAGCTTTACACCATGAGAGAAGAAAAGAAAAAAAATACAGAAAAGTTATACTGATTTAAAGGGTTCATTGCCCTAAGATAAAGTTTTTGCAGATTGTGTCATGTCCATGGAAGAGAGAACTGCTTTCACTTTTTCAAGTTCATTCTTGAACAGAGAGAAAAAACCTAAGACTACTGGAATTTTGAGATAAGAGACGATAAGAAGCTCAGCACTGTATATTTTTGGTCATAATCATTAAATGAGGATTTAGCTTGGTAATGAAAAATTGAAGTTGGTAGTTGATAGTTCCATAGAAAATGACATATGTGGTTCATCATCTTCTTAGTAATTTTTGTTAAGCATTCTGTTAATGGTATATGCTTGAAAATATCAATATAAGTCTTAATCTAAACTAACAGGACAGTTTCTTGAACCTGGGACCATTGCACTGCATCGTGGGAGCACAGCCTTAAAGGGGCCTTCGTACTTGTATCCACTCTTTTGTTCTTTTGTAATGGTTCTGGTAGACAGTAACAAAGCCTTAGATACAGGATAGCTTGTCTAATCAAGTCCTGTGGACTTAAATAAAATGTTATCTAAAATCCAGTCTGGACTAAGATTTTGCTTCTTAGGTGTTTCAAAGAAAAAATATTAGAATTCGTTAGACACTGTCTTTTGAAGGTAATGAATGGAAAAAAGAGAACATTGTCCATGTCATTGTGAAAAGCCTTCCACAGTGTGTGGAGATAAAGGCTAACACCTGTCTGTGAGCCTGATGGCACTACTGGTAACATGAGTGTTGCTTTGGGTGCGTTCTCAACTTCTTGATGTGCCTCAGTTTCCTAATCTGTAAAATGGAGATACTAATAATGTTCACCTTCTAAGATTATTCTGAAGATTAAATCAGTCAATGCATGTTAAATGTTTAGGGAAGTATCTGGCTGTACCAAGCACTATAAAAGTTTTCACAACTATTAATGATTATGTTTACAATTAAGGACAGGAGCTACAAACTCAAATACCTGCAGGAAATTGGCTGGCAAAGTATTTGAGGGAAGTGGGGTGAATGGAAGATAAACTACTGTGTAAGTAGAATGATGGACAACAGCTGCTCTTGAGCTTGGAGTCTATGGGGGACATTGAGGAGAGAGAGGCCTGATGGCCCAGCTCAGTTACTGAGTTGATTGCTGCCCTGTGGACATTTGGGCTTACTGTTGATGAGCTTACTAGATTTTTCAAGAAAATACGGATATCAAAATAAAAATCTCTGATTTTTAAACATTAGCAGATAATTAATTTTTACATATAATTTATTGGGGTGACATTGAAATTACATAGGTTTCAAATGTACAATTCAATAATACATCACATGTATATTGCATTGTGTGTTCACTACTCAAAGCTAATTAAATTTTTAAAAGTGAAAAGCCCAACTGCACATATTTGTAGGTTACTTTTAGCCCAGGACCTTTAGTTTGTCAGTTCTGTTAGAGAGAGGGTATAAAAGCTGAGAAATATATGTAAACTCTATAAAAACTGGTACACTACTTCTTATGGGCCAAAAATCCTGGACATAAGCCTACATTTTCAGGTAAACAATATTATGAAGGACTACAACTGACCTGCATTAAAATAAAAAATCTGAAAACAAAAAGCCAATCAGCTTTTGAAAGCTAAGATAAATGGGGCCTGGCTACATTTCTCCCTAACAGTAGAATCAAGAGGTTTTGTTAAACCACACTATTCAGTGTTAACAATGTAAATAACATATTTAACACTATAAATAGCCAAAGTGCTTAGTAAGTATTAATTAGGAGTATTGTTATAATTTCCCTGATATTTTACATGTTTTTAAAATTTTAATCTAAATACAGAAAATATTTTCCTCAACCATAGATAAGAAAACTTCACTATACTTAAAGGCTGATTATGGTTAATCAGGGTTTTAAGTTTAAAAAGATGAAAAACTACTCTCCCAAATATTAATTTGATTTCATCTACAACTATATCATTGAGCATTCAAAGCAAATATTATTTACCAAATAGTCTACTACTATTTAGAAACTCTCACTCCACATACTATGTATTTTAGTAAAGCAAATCTTTCAAAATTAGAACTAGCAAACGAAAAATTTCTATTAATGAATACATCTTTAGGGAGCCTGCCGAATAATCAGAAGCATTCTTTAGCTTTGGCTCATTCTACTCTATTCCAGGGTCTTTAGGTTATACTTTCAGAATATTAGTTGCTGGTTAAGAAAAGTGATGTTCTTAGAAATCCCGGGAGTGGAAAGATTGAGACTCAGATGGACTCAGATTGCAATTGAACACACTCTAAATACCATCTTGATTGCATTAGAAAAATGTATAAGCTTAGGGCTCATTTGATGATTGAGGATGTCCCCAGAAGTTCACAAGTATGTACAGTGCGAAGTTTTAAATATTCGATTTAAAGGCATTTCCCTTATGTACAAAGCTTGCTTTTCCCTTCAAATAATGCAAAACTAGAGCAAAAAGCTGGGGGTAGGAAATGGGAAAATAAGATTTAAGCTCAGTCATGAAAAAATGTATCCAGCTGGTAAAAATTTCATCTTGTTTAAGAAGAAAGTGGTATTACTTCAGCTCTTTCCAATTTCCATTCCAGCTAGATTTTTTTTTTTTCTTTAATCCTCAGGGGTTACTTTGACTTTTGAAATGGAATTTTTCATAACTTTTTTATAACTGACATAACTTATTGGCTTTGAATTATCACTTAACAGTAGTGAATAGCCTGGAACTCCCTAAATAGTTTCCCCATTTGGTGTAATTGAAGTGAGGCATGAGGGGACCCAGCTGAGTTGCATCCAAATTCAAACCTAATCCTGTTGACCTGTTAAGGAAAGAAGTGGAACTGAAAGTCGAAATGCGCTTCTTATGTAATTGCCTATTAATAAGTCAGGGTAGTCTATTTCATCAATGTCCCCAGTCTTGGGCCTTAACATGGGTTCAGCTTCACTGTCCTCATGATGTAGGCCAGCATGGTCCTATGAGAGGAGCTGGAAGAGTCTGTTCTGGAAGGCCAGGCGAGTACTCATGGAGCCCAAGTGAGAAGAGTGGGTGAAAGGATAGTGAGAAAGCAGTCAAGGGGTGCAGAGAGGTAAAAGTCCATTGTCCAGAGTGCGACCTACCCTTGGTATTTGGGAGTCATCTTTCAATCAGACCAACTTACAGGAAAATTAGGTCAGGAGATAAATGAATTCCATTTGGGACATGTTAATTGTGTATTCCCCTGTGGGACAGTTGAAGATGTCCAGTAGGCATCTGTAGGAACCCGGAGCTACGGCTCTGTGCTGCTCAGTGCCCCTGTAAAGTGTGTACCAGGAGGGTGTGATGTGAGAGGGGTGAGACCAGACCAGGTCTCCAGGAACACACCACTGAAAGGGAGAAAGTGAGCCCACAAATGAGACAGAGAAGGAACGGCTAAGAAGGCCAAAACAAGGAGAGGAGAAGGATGTTTCCGAGAGTGAGGTGTGACCCAGGTGCCACAGAGCCCAGTTTGGACACTGAAAGACAGCTAGGCAATCAGGACGTTGGATGGCTTGGCAAACACAGTTTCAGCAGTGAAGTAGGAACAGAAACCAGTTTGCAAGCGTTAAGGAGTAATAGGCTTGCTTTTCCAGATTTCAGAACTTGACCCCCACCAAGGAGGTGACCCTTAGCATCCCCATCTCTGAGCCTCAACATCCTCATCTGCATAATAGGGATGAATAATTGCCTAAGTGATGCCTGGATCCACGTTGGTCTGGTCTCAAAAGTTCCTACAGCAGCCTGTACTTAGGTGAGAAAAGCTGAGTAAGTTAATGAAATAGCAGTGTTTTCTACACTAAACTCTGCATTTCAATCCCTACTATAGATTCTATAACCGAGATGAAGGGAAGCATTACACAACAACAGCTTTTGGCAGAGTAGTTACAATACAAGGCAGTAAAGCCATGGTCCCCATTCTAGTTTTAGAACTAGTGCATATGTGAATAGTTGAAGTATAGGTCTGGTTCAGGAAAGACCAATCTGTTTTGCATTTATGGAGTAAGAAAGGATGGCAAATGTCCTATTTGTCGATTGGATGGGTAATGCAGATAGTAGAAATAAATGACAATAAAGGAGTGAAAATTTTGAAGAATAGACAAAATGTGTTGAGTTTTTCCTGGGTATGATCATGGAGCAGGTAGGGGCTCAGAAATACGGTAAACTAAGGAGAAATACATAGGCAAAGAATGCAGTCTGAGAGTCACTGGGTGCGCATTAAGTTGAA